TAAGGTTATTGTTTAGGACAGCGCTGAGGCCTTTCATTTGGGATGGTCATGAGATAATAGTTATCTGGTGAAATGGACAACAATTTTTGTGAAAAAATTCCTAAATTAGCGAATAAAATATTAGATGTAGTAGGCACATTTTCTTCATAAATGTTTTTGCAAAAAATATTGGTTCTAGATCTATGATTGTTCGAAAAGAGGAACAATTAGGTTCAACTTTTGCTCTTATTATATAGTAGATTAGCTGGCCCGGTCCGCGTTGCCGGTCCGTACTTTTAGTCTTTAATGCATATTTTTTAAAGCAATAAATAGAACACAGAACTGAATTATGTAAGCGGCACAATTTTTATTATAAGTAAAATAACTCCATAGTAATTCCTAATAGAAATAAACATTCATGGCAATCGGTTTAGATATAGCTATAGCTCCCATATATACTGTTCATCCGATTTGTTGTATTTGTTACCCACAGCCGTAATATGCACTCCGTAACAACGATATTCAGGGAAATATATCAAATACAGCTCAGAAAAATATATTTGCCAATTTTTATCGAGATCGGTTCAGATTTGGATATAGCTCCCATATATATCTTTATCTGATTTCAAATTAATTTTGCACCAAATGGGCAATACAAGTCCGAATTTAAAAGATACAAATGCTTCGGCATATTTAGTCCTTTGAATTCTAAATTATAATTATAATCATAGGGTGTATGATTGAATTCTCCCATAAAAACTTTTAATTTGGTTGTTTGTGCAAAATTCCATACTATTCGGACTGATATTACACGTTTGGTGCACAATAAAAAGCAAATCGGACAAAGATATATATGGGAGCTAAGAATTTCTGGAAGGATATAAATCCTTTTTTTTACTAAATGTTCAATTCGCTCTACCATTTTGCACCCTTTATATTCGGTATTTCACTGATTGCAGTCCCAATGAATTGCATTTTTTGAGTTCTCATTGGATGGATTATTGTCATATGAAAGAAGTAGGATGTACGTAGGTGACTTATTTAACTTTTAATATTATTCATTCAGAATTCAAAATAATAAAAAATGTTCACTTCAATATAGTATGTCAAATTGCCAGGATACTATTCCAAAATTATATGAATTGTCAAAATCCGTCAAGCCGTTCTTTAATTATAAGCGTACTACCCCACATAACTTTCTTTTATATTATGAAAATAATTCTTAATTTTGTTTACAAAAAATCGATTGAATTCAATATAAGCCGAATTGAAAAATCATTTAAAATTTAATCGTACATTATATAAAATTGGAAAAAAAGAAAAGAAAACAATTGAAAAAAGAAAAAAATCTTCACCTTGTTCGATGATTTTTACAGCAGAAGTTTGAAGGTCCTTGCAATGTTTGTCAATAGAATGTACTATTATTTTAAAATTTGATTCCATAGAAAATTTTTTGTCGATATTTTTCCCGATTCGAAAATTTCTGCAATGAGATCTATTTTAACTTTGGTATGACTGCGTTAAATTATTTCGATATCATCTATTCCGTTTCGCCACCACATAGTTCGATACTACACTTCCATGTAACACGCCATCTATTTCAGTTCTTAAGAAATCAAGTCAATTAAATAAATTGGTATTAACATTCGAATTCAAAAATAAAATTTAAAAAACACTACAAATCTACGTTAGAAAAAAGTAAGTCAAAATGGAAAAAAATCATGCAAAATAAAACATTACTATTGCACATTTCAAAGGTCAAAATGAAAATGTTAATATATCACATTTTTACGCGACTTTTTTTTTGGATTTTATCCTTTTTGGCCAGGACACAATTCCGAATTTGTATGAATCGTTAAAATCAGTCTAGCGGTTCTTAAGTTATAAGCGTAGTAGCTAACACAACTATCTTTTATATATATAGATATAGCAATGTGTCTTAGTGGAATCTTCATTCTAGGGTATCGAATGGTCTGCTCCGCCTGACTACAGCCTTTGTTTATTAAATTTGTATATATTGAAAAAATTTTCCGGCCTCATTGTTCTAATTATAAGAAACCTATATATAAAACTTATTTGTCTGCTATGATTTGGTTTGTTTAAAATCGAAATTTGATGATGACATCGAAAATTATGCAAACAAACGCTATGCTTTTGTTTTTGAGTGCCACTGAATTGGCTGTGCGAATGAATAAAAATTAATGCACAATAACGACTTGCTGAGAGACATCGTTCGAGAGAGAAAAAGAAGAAGACTTTGTGAAATACTTATTAATTAGTCTGCTCCAAATGTTTATATACCCTTAGCATAGGAGGTGACTGATTCACCGACAGATTGCTAGATCAACAATATTTTGAATGTTTTCATCGAATTTTCAAATTAGGGGTAATTGAAACATTTTCATTTGGTACCATTTCGTATAATGTGAACAGTTAGAGCTAAGAACTTGACATTTGGAATGGGAATCAAGTTTGAAGAGTAGAGTCGATGTAAAGCGGTATCTATTTGGGTAAACCGATAGAGGTGGAATTCTGAAATTTAGAAATAAAATTATTATTGCATTCTTGGACTGAGCTATATATGATGTAGTTTTGGAAACTCATATCTATGTGTACTAAATGGTACTAAATTTGGTGTCGTGGAACGGAGACTGCTTGAAACCTGAAATTTGACATTAGGGTCGCTGTTAGTATATAGGATTGAGATTTGAAGGAGGTTTTGGAAATATGTACTAAAAAATACTAAATGGTACTAAAATTGGTTTTTGGGTAAGGGATTGTCGGTTTGGATGATCCATGGAGGGGGGATTTGGAACTACCAAAATAGTACGAAAAGTACAGGGTGTTTTTTTAAGTCTGATAGAACTTGAAATTGTAAAAAATAACACAAAAAATTAAATAGTAATCAATTTTTTAATTTTAATTAATTTTTGTTTTTTTTATTCGAAAGATCAATACGTGACATTAACATTTCGGGCATATGGGCACCGCGGCTGTTCTTGACGTAGTGCATTCTGGACGTCCAGTTTTTGGCCACTTTTTCGAGCACTGATGGCCGTATGTCACGAATGACACGAAGAATGCTGGTCTCCATGGCGTCAATTGTTGTTGTTTTAGTAGCATAAACCAGTGACTTCACGTAGACCCACAGGAAATAATCGAGAGGTGTCAAATCGCACAACCTTGTAGGCCAATTGACAGGTCCACTTCTCGAAATCAACTCATCGCCAAATTTTGATTTCCATAAGTCGATGGTTCCGTTCGCCGTATGGCACGTTGCGCCATCCTGTTGAAATCACATCTCCTCCGGAACAATGTCATCCATATTTGTAAATAAAAAATCATTGATTATGGTGCGGTAACTACCTCCATTGAACGTAACGCGAGGTCCGGCCTCATTTTTGAAGAAATAAGGTCCGATGATGCCATCAGCGTAATGGACTCTGTAGGGTCTCTTGTGGATTGGTTTCACTCCATATGCGGCAATTTTGCTTATTAACAAACCCCTTTAAGCCAAAAATGCGCTTCATCGCTGAACACAATTTTGCGATAAAACAAAGGGTCATTTGCCAACTGCTCTAGAGCCCTAATTTTGTAGCGTTGTTCAAGCGTGATTCTATTCATGATGATATGTCAGAGTATACTAAAACAAATAAAAAAAGTTTCATCAAAATTTAATTTTTTGTGTTACTTTTTACAATTTAAAGTTCTATCTAGCTTGAAAAAACACCCTTTACTAACTAATATTAATTTCGGTATTTGGGGAAGGAATAGAGATGGATATCTGCAATTTGGCGTGAGAGTGTCTAATGTTGTGTTGGATAGACAAAATAAATATGCACCAAAAGTACTAAAATGCACTAAATTTATTACTACAGGGTGAGATAACAAAACTACAACAAAGTCAAACGCCATAATTTTTAATTTTTTATTTTAATTTTATTTAATGAAAGCCAAAAATGTCGGAAATAGCACCAAATTTCAGCTGACCTCTTTGACCACGATCATTTTGTTTATTTATAAACTACTAGACAACGAATATTTTCTCATCGGAGAAAACCAAATTCGGCAGTTCGCCACTTTCGGTCAAGCAAACCAAATCTTTACTTCTTTTGGATCTATTTTCTTTCTGTTGCGGTGTAAGTTCTTGCACTTTTTGGAATTTCAATGGATTTATCCCGAGTGCATTTTTCAATTTTTGCCGAATGGAATATTGCGATATGTTCAGCTCTCGAGGCATTTTTCAGCCACTGCGACGCGGGTTTCAATCAAGTCGCTTCTTTACTTTTCGAACCATTTCTGCTAATGTTGCTGTTTTCTTCCGTCCACTTTCTTGACGTCGGGCTACGCTACCAGTATCACGGTAACGAGCGATGGTACGAGACCTAAAGGATTTATTCACATTTAAATGCTGGAGTGCTCTAACTATAGCCACTTGTGGTTTTCCAGCCAAATATAAAGAAATCACGCTTGAATTCCATCACGAATAACTTTTTTGCTGGAAAATTCTCACCGAAATGATTTTGTACGCTTGTAAAAAATATAATGAGCTGTCACTGGAATAATTTTAACAGCTTTCGGACGAGTGGCTAAAAAATGACAGCAGTCTGAAGTTGGTTGCAGTTTTTTCATCTCACCCAGTATTTGAAATTATTTGGAGTTTCGTAAGTGAATCATGTGTGACAAATACGGCGGTGTGATGATATGGTTTTGCAAATGTTTTCTAAGTGCAGGAACTTTGCTATATGGTAATAAATTTGTTACAATGTTGTTTTGGAGGAATGGATAAAAGAGGAATATTGAAATTTATTATAGAAAGAGGTTGATCTGGAAAGTGTATAATATTTGAACGAGAAGTACTGAACGGCACTAAATATGGTATAAAGAGTAGGAAAATATTTTGAATTGAACATTCGGAGTTAAGATCAATTTGACATTTCTTTAGACTTTTGACATTTCTTTAGTGCTTTTTTATTTCAAGATCTAACCAGGAATACAAGTAAAACAAATTGAAAACATCATTCATTCCTTTCTTGTTTATTTGTAATAATTTACAAAACTTACATTTATATACGAGGTAGATACGTATGCGAAATAACATATTAATTATAATCAGTTTTATACAATGGCTGATTTGTGCTCAAACCATACTGTTCAGGAACGGAATTTGCTTTGCGTATTCTCTTATAGAGAATGTAGATGGGTGAGAAGGCCAATATTTCAATACCTGCAAAGAAACGGTGGAAATATTTTATTCACAAAATTATTAAATAATTTAAAATATTATCTATAAATGAAAAATATAAATTCACATTAGGCGCTTTCATATTGAACTTAAGTTTATTGGTATATGGTTAAGCTTTAATTAATTCAAATAAAAAGACAATAACATATGCCGACAGCCAATGTTCGTTTATTTAAACCTTTTATGAGTAGGTTCCAAAGGAATGAGCCAATATTGTCCATTTCGTATCGGTCCTAAATAAATACAGGGTGAGATGAAAAAAACTGCAACCAACTTTACAAGCGTACAAAAGCATTTTGGTGAGAATTTTCCAGAAAAAAATTTATTCGTGATGGAATTCAAGCGTGAGTTCTTTATATTTGGCTGGAAAACCACAAGTGTCTGTCATTTGTGTCTCGTACCATGTCTCGTAACCGTGATACTGGAAAATGATTCGAAAAGTAAAAAAGCGACTTGAACAAAACCCGCGCCGCAGTGGCCGAAAAATGGCACTCGAGCTGAACATATCGCAATATTCCATTTGGCAAATATTGAAAAATGAGCTCGGGGTGAAGTCATTGAAATTCCAAAAAGTGTAAGAACTTGCATCACAACAGAAAGAAAATAGACTCAAAAGAGCTAAAGAGTTCCGTCGCTTGGCCGAAAGTGGTGAACTGCCGAATTTGGTTTTCTTTGATGAGAAAACATTCGTTGTCCAGCAGTTTGTAAATAAACAAAATGATCGTGTTTACTTGCCAAAGAAGTCAGCTGAAAATGTGCATCTTCGGCCATGGTGATAGTGTGGACCGCCATAACAGCCGATGGTCGCTCATATTAATCGACCGTGGCATCTGAATAAATGCCGAATATTATTGCGAAAATATTCTGGAGGGTGTATTAAAGCCTTGGACACGCAAACATTTTGGCCGCAGACCTTGGACATTCCAACAGGACTCAGCACTCGCCACCCAAGAATGGTTACAAAATGAAGTTCCTCGCTTCATTTCCAGCGCACAATGACCACCAAAATCTCCGGATACCAATCCATTGGACTATTGTGTCTGAAGAATTTTGGAATCCAAGTTTGGCACTAATACCAAAGTGTCTTTCACCTCAAGCAAGCGTTTCGCCGGGAATGGGCCAAAATACGACAGAGCAACATTCGGACAGCGTGTGACGGTTTCATTGGCCGTTTGAAGGCCATAATTCGTGTCAAACGTGACCAATTCGAATAAATCTAGACTTATTCTAAAATTTGCTGCTATTTCCGACATTTTTGCTTTCATTCAATAGAATATAAAAAAAAATTAAAAATTATGTCGTTTGACTTTGTTGCAGTTTTTTATCTCACCCTCAAGTTTGAACTATATTGGCTACATCATAGTATGGAGGGTATATTAAGTATATGGTTATTTCGTTTGTAACACCTCGAAATATACATTTAGACTCTACAAAGTGCATATAATTTTGATCAGCATAAAATTATATGTCGATTTAGCGTTTTCCGTCCATCTGCCCGTCTGTGGAATTCACGAATTGAAAAAGATTGATAATGTTTTACTTAAATGTGTGTTTGGTCTGCAGGACTTTTGGTATTGAAAATGATCTATATAGGTCCAGTACCTCCATATATTCGGTATTTTGATGATTTTACCGACATTATTCACCAAAATTGTTTCATATTTGTAGTTTGCTGTTGGTACTACTGTCTAGGACAGAAAATTGACTATGCGGGATCACGTTGGTACTACTGTCATGATATAGCATGGATATTCAATATTTTGACCCCATGTGGGGGAGTTACCAGAAGGAATATTCCGATATATTCCATTTTAACACCAGATCTTCTGCAGCTGGAAATTATGAGGTGTGTGAAATTTGAAGAGAACCGGATGTTCACTTCGGATTTTAAAATCGTTTTGGTTATTCAAAACGTTGACCCTTTGTGGGGGAGATACCAGAAGCAATGGTCTGATCTCTACCATCTCTATAACAGATCTTGTGTTGATAGAAATATTGGAATGTGCTAAGTCTGAATGGACTTAAATGTTAATTTCGTGTTTAATCAGTTTCAGGGATATTCAAAATTTTTATCCTTTTTATGGGGTAGGTACCATTGTGAGGTGCGTAATTTGAAGACAATCGGACTCTTACATCACATGTTATAAGAGTTATAAATATTCAAAATGTTGTAACCGATATTGTATATTTGCGCACCTGACCTAGCACTGATGCAAATATTTGGATTTGCAAAGTTGAAGCAAAATCCGATTATCTTTTCTCTTTCTGTGCAGTAAAATATATTTTTTTTTTTTTGAAAATATCGAGTGGACTGATAATAACTTTACGAGGTACCATGTTGGGATCGGATCGGATATTCCTTTCGTGAGTTATCGTGCGCACAGGCAGACGGACGGGCGGACTCGCTAGATCGACTACAAATGTCCTGAAACGGATTTGGGCCAAAGAGACCTAGGGTCTGCAACCGTTATATCGATGAAGCACGCTTTGGTCGTATCAAATGATATATACCCTCTCTAGCCATATGGCTGAGGGTATAAAAAATGTAGTCCACACATTTGAATTCAAAATGTATATTCGATATTATGAATCGTTACGTTAGCTGAGACGATGACAGATTGATAATCGAAATTTCTAATCAATAAATTATATTAAAACTAAATGTGCCAAGATTAATAGAAAACCACGTTACAATGTATTGTAAACAAACTCAAAACCTACAAGACCTCTGCATTACCAGTAAGTAATGAATAACGTGCCTTGTAAAAATTATGATAATGAGTATAAATATGAATGTAAATATTGTTTTTTACATTGTCAATATCTCAGCTTCAGTATATCGAAAATATTCAAATATTTATGTTTATGAATTTTCAAAATTTTCAAATTTCTTAATCTATTCCTCTTAACACTTACCAATACAAATAAGGCCGACAACGAGCACCACAATTGAATACACAAATTCGTGTTTAAGAATAATTAATAGGAATATGAAAACGCCAATCAGAACAATAACTCCAAGGACAATGCCAACAATTGTGGTATAGACAAAAACGGCCATTAGACGATGACGTTTCTGCAAAGAAGAAAAGAAAGAAAATCAGGAAAAATACATTTTAATACGGACATCTGCCCATCCTCCATTTCAAATACATTGTTTCTTTATTTTAATTTTGAATAACATACCTGATAGATGCCAACCAGCAGCAAGACATACAAAACTATGTTGATGATACACACGATGCATGGTATAAGAATATTCAGAATAAACATTCCCTGCCTTTCATCTGTTTAAAAAAGAAAAAAAAAAATGTTATAATTTCTACCAAATTCTTTGTGAATAAATTTGAGAGCAAGCCAATTTTAATTATCTCTTAGATTGCTCCCATTCAGTTGAGGAAGTAAACGGTCAATAAACGTCAGACCATTCTGTAATCTACCTCTTGGATTAAATTCTAACAAAATTTGAGGTGATTTTGGAATTGTGTTCTAAAAAATTACGAAAAGTATTTATGGTACTATGTACGGCATTGGGGGAAAGGATATTGCTGGAAATCAGAAATTTGGAATATGGATTCTTAATTGGGTGTAGGATAAATGGAAATTCCAACTACAATTGTTGGAAAGGAACTAAATTTGATACAATTTGATATCATGTAAACATAGCTAAAATTTTGCATACAAATTTTATTTGATAAGTAGGTCTGTACTAATTGACTAAATTTGATACAATTTGGTTTTAGATGAATGAATTGAGCTGGAAATTAGATATGTTGGTATTGGAGTCAGTACTGGAATTGAAATAAAGATGTGGTTTTTGGAAATGTGTACTACAAGTATACGAAATGTACGAAATAGTATATAATTTAGCATTGGTTGAAAAGAGAGTTTGAAATTATTAATATTGTTATTATCATTATGGCCACTGTTAGTATGTAGGGTTTATATTTGGAGGAAGGACAAAAGTGTGGGGGGGGGGGGTGGGGTCTACTATATGATACCATACACCACTATGTGTATTTATTAGAGCTCACGTAACAATAAATTTATATTAGGAATTTATGTGCTTCGATTAAGGATTATATATTTAAAACGTATTTATTGGAAAGGTAAGATTGGTAAAGGTTGAATATGAAAAAATCTATTTAATCTTGGGCTGATATTACATAGATGGTGAGCAATAATCGTAAAATCGGATGAAGGTTTGTATAGAAACTACATAAAAATCATAACCGATAGATAACATTTGGCAGGGGTATTTTCGAGCTGTATCTGATGTCCGATATCAAATATCATTGTTGTGGAGTGCATATTACGCATCTGCGGGACTTTAGTATCAAATCGGTTGAAACATATATATGGGAGCTATTGCGATTTTCAACAAATACTTTATGCTGATTTGTCACAACTCTCTGATGTAAGCCATTTTGGGCTAATATTAGCCACATTTGGGTTGATATTAGCCATATGGTGCGCACTAAACCCGATATCTGATAAAGATATATATGGGTGCAATATCCACATCCGATCCGATGAGGGACTTAAACACCAAATCGGAAGAAACATATATATGGGAGTTATAGCTATATCTCAACCGTTTTTCACCAAATTTTATTTACTAGCTTTTATGCTGACTTCGTTCGGATGAGCCAAAATTCAGTCTTTTGGACTGATGTTGGTCAAAGATATAATTTTGAACTGATCCTTACCAATTTCAATAGGGTTCGCCTTTGGGCCAAACAAATATTATTGGAAATTTCATCTCAATCGGATAATAAATGCGACCTGCATTTTGTTCACAAAAGTCCACAGAACAGACCTGTCTGTCGGACGAACAGACATGCATTAATCGATTCGAAAAGTGATTCTTTGAAGATTCTTTGAAGATCCTCAAAAGTAACAATGGGTCTATCTCGCTTCCTTCTCCGTGTTACAAACTAATGCACAAAGACGTAATACTCTGTGGTGTAGGGTATGAAAAGTACGAAAAGAATTAAATGGTATTAAATTTGGTTTTTGAGGAATGAATTGAGGTGGAAATCTGAGATTGGGAGGATTGACGAACCAAAGGGTTTTTAGAATTTCGAACAATAATTTGGTAAAATTTAGAATTATTTAAACGGATAGGGATACAATGTAGTTTTTGGTGAATGGATTAAGGTGGAATGTTGAAATTAAGTATGGAAAGTGGTCATTCAGGAGGGTTCACTGGATCACTGTGAATGCGAAGCTTTTAGTTGGGGAGGCGATTTTGACATGCTTACTATAACATGTACGAAAAGTACTAAATTTAGTAAAGGGTTGGGAAAGAGCATGGTAAAATTAAGAAGGCAAAGTCATTTCATATAAGCATATCCATATTTGCATTTTCTTTAATTTATCTTTTCAAATTTCTTTGTACATTGTTTTTATAGGATTTTTTTTTAAATGCATCAATTTGAAGAAATTGTATGCAAAATTAATCAAAAAATTGAGAAAATATTTTCGCGCTCTTTTTATACCCTACACCACATAGTGGTAAGGGTATTATGTCTTTGTGCATTTGTTTGTAACATGGAGAAGGAAACGAGATAGACCCATAGTTCCTTTTGATGATCTGCAAAGAATCACTTTCTGAGTCGATTTATGCATGTCAGTCCGTCTGTCCGTCCGTCTGTCCATCTATTTTTGTGAACAAAATGCAGGTCGCATTTATTATCCGATTGAGATGAAATTTTCCAAACAATATTTTTTTGGCCCAAGGACGAACCCTATTGAAATTGGTGAGAATCGGATCAAATTTAGATATAGCTCCCATATATATGTTCATCCGATTTCGGGTTAAATGTGCACCAAATGTCCACTAACAGTCCAAATTACCTGAATTTTGGCACACCCAACCGAGTTCGGCCTAGAAGCAAGTATATTAAATTTGGAGAAAATCGGTTCAGATATAGCTATAGCTCCCATATATATCTTTCATCCGATTTGATCTTTAAGTCCCTCACATTCCTACTATGCACTCCACAACCGTGATATTTGGTACCAGGTATTAGATGGAGCACAGAAATAGCTGTTTTAAATTTTATCGAAATCGGTTCAGATTTGGATATAGCTCCCATATATATCTTCATCCGATTTCGGGTTAATTGACCATCAAATGGTCAATATCAGCCCAAATGGCCCGAATTTTGGCACATATGACCGAGATTAGCCTTAAAGCAAATACAACAAATTGGAGAAAATCGGTTCAGAAACAGCTATAGCTCCCATATATATGTTTTATCCGATTTGGTGTTTACGCCTCTCACATTCGTAATATGCATTCCACAAGAATGATATTTGGTACCAGATATAAGATACAGCCCAGAAATAGCTGTTTGTAATTTTATCGAAATCGGTTCAGATTTGGATATAGCTCCCATATATATCTTCATCCGATTTCGGGTTAATTGACCACCAAATGGTCAATATAAGTCCAAATGGACTGAATTTTAGTACATCGGACCAAATTCAGCCTAGAATCAAGTATATCAAATTTAGTGAAAATCGGTTCAGATATAGATATAGCAACCATATATATGTTTCATCCGATTTAGTGTTTTAGTCCCTTACATTCGTAATATTCACTCCACAACCGTGATATTTGGTACCATTAGATGGAGCACAGGAATAGCTGTTTTAAATTTTATCGAAATCGGTTCAGATTTGGATATAGCTCCCATATATATCTTCATCCGATTTCGGGTTAAATGTGCACTAAATGGTCAATATCAGCCCAAATCACCTGAATTTTCGTACATAAGACCGAATTCAGTCTAGAAGCTAATACGTCAAATTTGGAGAAACCCGGTTCAGAGATAGCTATAGTTCGTAAAATGCACGGTAGAATTAGATAGATTTTGATTTTGTACCAAATATCTCATAGAGCTCAAAAATGCCCTGTATAAACCCTACTTAATATGCATAGTGGTGTAGGGTATCATATAGTCGGCCCCGCCCGACTTATGAGCTTTCCTTACTGGTTTTGTTTTTGCAACATTGATGTAAATATTTTCATGATATACAATTGAAATAAATATTTCGCAAATTTAGAATTTTCGAAGAAAATAATCGCCGTTATCTGTAATATTGTAATATTGTTATCTGTAATATTGACGAAGACACTATATACCCAAAATGCAAAGAAAGGCATCTTAATCCGAAAAGTTCAATAATATTCTTTCAAATCGCCCATTTTTGGCTTTAATTTTTTTCTTATTAATATGTTTTGTGTTGCGCAGTGTTATTACCTCTTCTTTTGGGGAGGTACCGATGGAATGGGACAATATTGTCTATTTTCGTTACTGTCGTAAATCTCATATGAATAAAGACTGCTGTTTTTTGGCAACACTGGTTTGAACAGCTCAAACACTTTTCATGTCTCACTGTTTGGTATTTAATTTAAACGTCAATCGTCTTACAAACGAACATTATCAAAATGCGTGCTTTGTTAAGAAAACGCGCTTCTTGTGTTCAGCGACGAAGCTTAATTTTTGAGCCATTTTTGGGTACGTTAATAAGGTGAATTTTCCATTTTTGAGTGAAGATAAGCCATAATCATTACAAAAGCTACCAATGCAACCAGATGGGTCAAGTTAACATGGGTCAAAAATCCGGCGTGCCTACTTTACACCACCATAAATATTTAGTAGAACTAAAAAAAAAAAACAAGTAAAACAAGTATAAGCTTTTAATATCCTCCAGCATTGGGCAAAGAAAACATTTTTTATAAAATTATCTGAATTCAAACGGGTTCTACTTTAAACTACAAAAATCAGTAAGACCATTTGGAAGATATTTTTTATACTTCAGGAATTGTAATTTACCAAATCTTCTCAAATACCAACTTTGAAACAATTTCGTGGATAAATGTGACTAGGATTATCGTAACATGTGTGCTAAAAGAAAACGTGGAACTAAATATTTAATGTTCTGCCACTAGAGCTAGAACCCATTATGAACTTAAAATACCAATTTTTATACAAATACCTGAAAAAGGTAACAAAAATCATCAAAATGCCGAATATCGAGAGGTACCGTTATATTGGGGCTATACCAAAACATGGACCTATGCATACATATATATATATAGGGGTCTACGACGAATATTTAAAGATGTTACAAACGGAATGAAAAAGTTAATATCTTCTTTTCCAAAGTGAGGGGTATAAAAATGTATATATATGGAATTTCATTGAAGAAGATCATATGTACTATGACCGTATTTGAATGCGTATCATGTCTTTAGATCGGTTATAACTTGAAA